CCTTCTCCAATATCCTCCAGAGAGAATCAGTTCAAGGACCCACAGTGTAAATTTCTATTAAAAATCCATATGTGCCCAAGTTCTTTAAATGGTAAATTATTTTCACACATGTTCACAGATTCTCCTATAATGTATATTCTTGGCACCTACAGGTATATAGTTTTAAAGATACCACCATTGAGATAACTACAGATGTTCAGGAAGCATAGATTTCACTACTATATTGTAGATTCTTGTATTTTCCCTCAAATTTTACGTACTTTCTGCAGAAAACATCTAAAGTTTTTACTTTGTCACTTTAATTTGGCACACAGCATAACATTTTTGTCTTAGGAAGAATGCCATAACTTTTATCTTACTTTGGAGAAAACAAGTTTGGATTTTGGGAGATATATTAGAAGAAATTTGGACATGGCAAAATTCAAAGTTCACATAACAATTTAAACAAAACTGAAGATATTTTGCACTTGACAGAGATTCTCCACATCTGTTGAACTGTGCAGTGAGTGCTCAGGAATTTAAATTTTTTATTTTAGAAACTTGTATTGATTTTATCTTTATCTTTACCACATGTGGTCAAAACTATGTATTCTAAATCATTTGTAGATTTTCTTTTTCTTGCTGTAGTACTCTAATTGGGGCCTTTCACTTGTTAGACAGATGTTATACTACTTCAGCCCATGTCTACAGCCATATTAGATTTAGTTATTTTTAGATAGTGTCTTGTGTTCTTCATAGGCTATCTTTTTTTTAAAATGTTATTATTTTATTTTGTTTTGGTGGTGGTGGTCCTGGGGCCTGAACTCTGGGCCTAGGCACTGCCCCTCAGCTCTTCAGCTCAAGGCTAGCACTCTACCACTTGAGCCACAGAGCCAACTTCTGGCCTTTTCTGCTTATGTGGTGCTGAGGAATCAAACCCAAGGCCTCATGTATGCAAGGCAAGCACTCTACCACTGAGCCACCTTCCCAGCTCCTTCATAGGCTATCTCTAGACAATGATGTTCCTATCTCATTCAGTCAGTGTTACACACTGCACTACTAGTTTGTTGAGATGGAGTCTCAATAATATTTTGCAAAGGCCACAGTCTTCCCAATCCCTGCCTCCTATTAGCTGGGATTACATCTGTGAACCACCATGCCTGATATCTAGATCTTTTTCTAGTAAGTGATACAGTGTTAGTGCTATATAAATAGTTCTTACTCTCCATTGTTTAGGAAACAATGACAAATAAAAGCATTACATGTTCAATGCACAATTTTGGCATAGTATTTCCATAGGCAGTGGGTTGAACCCATGGGTGCAGGACCTACAAATACAGAAAACACCTTAAATTGTTTATTTAGATATTTGATACAGTATGTGACTCAGAGAATCAAAGTTGTGAATAAACATGCATTCAAAGAAATGTCACTCCTTTCTCATTCCTTTGATACTTTTTCTAGTTGTTCCTATTTCTTTCCCCTTCTTTCCTGTCCTTTACCTAAAGGGATAGTCAATCTCTTCATCTTGTGGCTTAATCTTTCCTATACTTACATTGCACAGATGAACATGTACAAGTTTTTAAATTGCTTTCTTACATACTTTACAGTATCCTAAGTTTCTCCTCATTTGTCCCTCATTTCATAGCCATTTATACATATATATGTATATATATATATATATATATAGAGAGAGAGAGAGAGAGAGAGAGAGAGAGAGAGAGAGAGCATAGAGCATTATCATGTATTTGTCTGAGTAAATGGTGTAAGGCATTTTTGAAATTGCATTGCAATTTAATTGAGCTTAAGGATTATTGACATCTTTTCCATGTAAACTTGTCAGGGAAGAAGATATCAAATTGGAGTAGCATTGGTTATAAGTATTTAAAATATACCAGAGGCTTTGTTAAGCCAGGTTTCAGGCGTGTCTACAACTGAACCTCTCGAGAAATTTGTTTGCACATACAGAAATGTATTCAGACTTTGTGAAGTGGCATGTACTGTAAATTCTGCAGTGGAATTCAGTATCCTTTTGTACTAATTGGTGAAAACATTCCTTCCTGCCTGAAAAGCAATCCCTTTCTTACAAGGAGGTTTGATCTTTCCTGCACATAAAAAATCACGGTTCTTGACAAATAAGGTACAGTTAGCTTCTCTTGAATGTTAATCAATTTTTTTTAAAACATTGCATATTTTGTTCTCTTTTCTATTTTTACTTTTGTGCCTGTCATGGGGCTTGAACTCGGAGCCTGACACTGTCTCTGACCTCTTTTGCTCATGGATAGTGCTCTGTTACTTCAGATACATCTCCACTTCCAGGTTTCTGGTGATTAATTTAAGATGAGTCTCATGGACTTTCCTGCCTGGGCTGGCTTTCAACCATGATGCTCAGTTCTCAACTTCCTGAGTAGCTAGGATTACAGGCATGGGCCTCCACTGCCTGGCTCTTTTTTTTTTGATGCAGGTATAATATTGTTTGCTCATTAACCACTTATGTATCATAAACAACAATGAAAATGCTAGCATGAATGAATATTTTCATTTTTCTTGGGCATATACAGAGGTGGGATTGCTACAAGAATGGGTATCTATGTTCAACTTTTTAAGAAACCACCAAACGTATAACCTCAGCTCTACTATTTTTTCATTTAAATTTTATTATAAAGGTGATGTACAGAGGGGTTACAATTACATAAGTCATGTAATAAGTGTATTTGTTTTTGAAAAGTGTTACTCCCTCATTTTCTCTCCTTTTCCCCTCTTGACTTCCTTCTCCCCAGGCTGTGAAGTTCATTTACAACATAGTGTCTAAGCCGGGCGCCGGTGGCTCACACCTGTAATCCTAACTACTCACTAGGCTGAGATCTGAGGATCGCAGTTCAAAGCCAGCCCGGGCAGGAAAGTCCGTGAGACTCATCTCCAATAAACCACTAGAAAACCGGAAGTGGCGCTGTGGCTCAAGTGGTAGAGCACTCACCTTGAGCTGAAGAGCGCAGGGACAGCACCGAAGCCCAAAGTTCAAGCCCCACGACCGACAAAAAAAAAACCAAAAAAAAACATAGTGTCTAGTGAGTATCACTGCTCAATTGGTTCACGCTATGTCCCACCATTTCTGTGATTACCCTTCCCCTCCCCAAATCAGAAAAACTTATGTACAAGACAGTACAGAAACAAAAACAGTGACACAGTGACAAAAAAGAATAAACCAAAAGAATAAAAAAGAAAAAAACAAATAACTACAAACAGTACAATAAAAACCCTCTTATTTCTATTTCTTGGAGTTCATTTAGATAAGCATCATTTTATACAGTCATATGCAAATAGAAATTGAGCCATTGTGATCCTCTCCTTAAGAATATCCTCCTTTATTCTCACTGTGTGAATGCTTAGAGTGCTGTTAAATTAATAATGTCCAAGTGTAATTATTTGTCTTTTGCCATCCATTGCTTTAACTTGTAGATTTATAGACATAGTATAGTTATTACATATGAGGGAAACCATGGAGCTTGTGTTTCTTTGGGTCTGGTTTCACTTAATATAATTTTTTCCAAGTATTTCCATTTCCTTATGAATGTGGCAATGCCATTCTTTCTGATGGAAGCATAGAATTCCGTTTATGTATATATACCACATTTTCTTGATCCATTCATCCACTGAGAGACATCTGGTTGATTTCACATCTTAGCTATGGTAAATAATGCTGCAATGAATGGGGTTGTGCTGATGGCTTTAGTGGGAGCTGGTTTTTGGTCATTTGGGTAAATGCCCAGAAATGGGATTGTGAAGGTCTATGATTAATCTTTTGAGGAGCCTCCATACTGCTTTCCAGAGTGGTTGGGACATGGCTAGCAAGATAAGTAGAAAGCCCACAGAATGGGGAAGATCTTTATTAACTATGCATCAGCCAAGAGCCTCATATCTAAAGTATACTTAAGAGCTCAAAAAATTAATTTCCCCAAAACAAATCCTCAAAGAAACAATAACTCCATTATTAAATGGGCTAAAGACTTAAAGAGAGATGTCTGCAGAGAAGAAATAAGAATGGCCAATAGACACATGAAGAAATGTTCAACATTTCTGGCCATAAAAGAAATGCAAATCCAAAAAACATTGAGATTCCATCTCACCTCAGTTAGAATGGCCATCATCAAGAAAACTAGTAACAGATGCTGGCAGAGATGTAGCCATAAGGAATGTAAACGTGTTCAACTAGCCCTACTGTTTTGATTTGCCATCTGCATGTATGTGACTCCACTTTCTCTGCAACAACCTTAGCTATTTTTCATTTTTATTATTTTCAAAATACAGACTTTTGAAATCAAGGCCTTGTATTTTTGACATAAGCACTCAATCATTTGAACCACATCCCAAACTTTTTTCCTTGGATTATTTTTCAGATCGGCTCATACATATTTTGCCCCAGAGTGACCTCAGACAGCTAATCTCCTACCTCTGCCTCCTTCATAGGTGAGATTATAATTTTGAACCAGTACTTCTGGCTTATTCTTTGTTTTAACTGGCCTTGAGCCTTCACCCTCCTCTGTACCTCCTAAGTAGCTTGAATCACAAGCATGAGCCACGATATCTGGCCCTACTCTCATTTTGGAAAAGGACTATCCATTTGCTACAAGGTGGTATCATAGGGTAGTTTTAATTTGTAACTCCTTAATGACTTGTAATGTTAGCATATTTTTATCTATTTGTTAGTAATTTCTGTATCTTCATTCCAGCAGTGTTTATTAATGTCATTTGCAACTTTAATTAAATGGATTTTCTCTTTTTATAGTGTGTTATTTTTGTTATGAATTTTAGATTTTTATCAAATAGGCAATACACAAGTATTTTACCACTTTTCCAGTTGATTTTACTCAATTCCCACACAGTTATGAGATAATTTCTAATTTATGCCTATAGAAATTGTTCTCTAGATACAGATGTATAGTTTGGCATGTATTTATTTATTTAACACTTTTCTGTGGCTGTCTTCTCCAGAATTCCAAATATTTCACTCCCTGATACAGGTGTATTAATATGGATCCAAAGAACCCAGGAACACTGCTTGACCTTGCTATACAGACTGTGGTGAAAAATGAGTCTGTGGCATTACGTGCTGTTGAGGAGATACCACAAGAACTTTTTATTCCACTGTTCAATGCTGCCTTCTCTGGTGGGCATACAAATGTAGTGAAGGCAGTAGTAAGTACTTGGCCCTTTCCTTGTCTCCATGTTGGGGCCTTGCACTTGCCAGAGCCATACTGTGACATCTTGGAAGCCATGCTTGATGGTCTTCAGTTCCTTCCTGTTCGCAACTCTTCTTCTCGGTAAGACTTCATATAATATACATTTGGAAAGTCAGCAGAATATTTTGCTAAGACCTTGTGCAGGAAAGGACTTACAAGTCTCCATAAATGATTGATAGATAATATAGAAGGTCTTTGTGAGACTATAGGTGCAACATTTGTGATCACCTTAAGGACATCAATGTCTTACAGATATTATGTAGACTTGTGGTGACTGAAGGTTCAACTGATGAATTTCTGTGATGTATATTATTAAATAGAAGAGAGATATGAGCACTAACATTTGGAAAGACAAAAATGAGAACAGAGGGTACAACAATTAACAGAGATTGGGTGAATTTTGTGGAAAGTTTTGTCAAGTGACACTTGGAGTAAACCCTGAGAATAAAGGGTTTTGTCCCTCCTTCTCATTATTGATTCTTCTGGTTTCCATTACCTCTCATACGTGTTACCTTTTCCTTTTCCTACAGTGTGCCTAAACTGAGGATTCTAGATTTAAGGCAGAATGCAGACTGCATGACCACATGTTCTGGAATTTCAAACAAATTTCCTTTCTGTTTTGAGGCTTGTGCTTACTCTAAGAAATCTATCGGGAAAAAACAAGGAGCCCATGATCAACTTGTAAACTTGGAGGCTCAACCATCCCGAATACCAATGGAAGTTTTAGTGGACCTATATATTGATGGTGCCTGGATGACAAGACATTTTCTTTCTGTTCTATATAATAAAGTTGAGCACAGTTTGGGGTCTCTGCACCTCTGCTGTAGATATTTGCAGGTTGATAAGATAATGGACTACAAAAAGGCCCAGAAGATTTTGGATATGGTGTGCATTGATCACTTAGGAGTGGATGAAGCTTCTCTGAGTGAAGTCTGCATGATTATACCTGGGATGGTCCACCTTACTAGCCTTAATCTATATAAAATTAAATTTAGATCTTATAAGAAAAAACCTTTCAAAATGTTTCTCTCCCATCTCAGCCGGATGGATGACCTCCAGGAGCTCTTCCTCTCTTACTTCTCCCTGAAAAACCATGTTCATAAAGTACTCAGGTGAGGGTTTGGAGTAGTAGCCTGGGCTACCCAAGCACTATGTTAACTGAGGAGTGAAAACATTCTTGCATATATCTGAATTACTTATAACATATATTTCCTTTGCCTCAGCACGGACACTTCTAGAAATCTGAAACTGCCAAGGCTAAGCCTTTCTCATAATGAGAAGCAAGACCCAATTAGAAAGATATATTAGACATATTCATTCAGTCAATCAATGCAGATACCATGGCAGACTCAAGAATATATTGGTTAAAAAAGTCCTTCTACAGTCTCTTAGAGTGTAAGAGAACATTTTCGGTTAGGGAAGTTTTTTTTTTTTTTCTTACAGCATGGATAGACATAGTCACAGAATGACTATACTAATACTGTCAGACTATGCCATTCATGGGTTTTCATGAAGGCTTAGAGCCAAATGGAGAAAATTCCATTTAAAGATTAGTCAAAGGGAATTTTCTGTAGCCTACTAAGCCTTACATCTCCATACAAAATGGACAGTGGTATAAATACTTTTTACTACAATGTTCATTACTCAGCAAATTAAGTAATACTGTTTACATTTAGATGAGTTTGAAGCAAATTTATGTGCAAAAAATTAACTCTTTATGGTGGAAAATCTATTTAGTCCACATTGTTAGCTGTCATTTCAATGTATCACCAAATGATTTATTACAGAGTTATAGGTAGTTAAAATCCATGAATTTATGTTGGAACAAATACTTATAATTTAAAAATAATTTTCTTTTTATCTCTACAGAGTACTGTCACCTGAGTTGGACTCATTGAATCTGAATTTTTGTGACCTGACTAACAAAGACTTGCTTTCCATGTCCCAGAAACTTCAAGATAGAAATATAAAGCTATTGAATCTCAGTCACAACCAGATGTCGTGGGAAAATTTCCAACCATTAAGGATTCTCCTGGAGAATCTATCTGGTAACCTGCAGCATCTAGAGATGAATAATTGTCTTATTACAGATGTAACTCTCTCTGGTATCATACCATCTCTAAGATCTTGTACCAGTCTCCGAGTTCTTACCTTGGCCTGTAATCCCATTACCATGGCTGTGCTTAGGAGCCTTTTGCAGAATTTAACACTACTGATGAAGCTGAAGTTTGTAATCTATCCAATTCCTATGCATTGCTATGATCAATGGCATTTTCGTGACAGTTTAGACGAAGTGAAACTGGCTGAAGTGAAGTCAGAAATAAGGTCAAGGCTCCGGGCAGCACAACGTACTGACATGAAGTGGAGCACTTCATATGAATAATTTTGAGAGTAAAAAAGCTCATTGAACAATGATATGTGGCCCATGAAACACTCATTATTCTTGCCTGAAGCCCACATTCACCATATATAAAAAACGATTTACTGTTCCAGAAAACTGGTGTTAGGAAAATTGGTGCTAGGAAAATTGGATGTAAAACTGTTGTCTGTAAAAGAAAATGGAGGGCTTTGAAAAATCCAGTGAAGCTTTTGTGTACTAGTCTTTACATCTGCCTTCTTGTTCCTGACCACAGTACTGAGAAAGTGATTTAGGCTGACCCACTCACGGCATACCTTGTCCTAGCCAACACTGACATACTCACTTCTGGGTAACTGACACTAGTCAACATGATTGAAATTTTTCCTGGATGTTTTGATAGAGTGGTGGCTATTGAAGACATCTTTTCCACTTTATTCTAAACTCTTAATATTAATCTTAAGATAATTGAGAGAACACATCTGCTGTTAAAACAGGGAAACTATGCCCATCTACCTGTGGATGTCTAAATCTGCATGCTGCCACATCCTTTCCTAGGTCAAAAGCAATGAGAATCAGACTTTACTTTGGTTAGTGTATAACAAAACCAATACATTTTATGTAGCACAATTACATGTCACATATTTTTCAAAGATGGAAGAACAAAAAGAATAAAAATTATCTCGGACTTTACTATGGTTACTGTTTAATAACACCAATACATTTTATGTACCACAATTACGGGTCACATAACTTTTCAAAGATGGAAGAACAAAAAGTATAAAAATTATCTCAGTCATAGCTTTTACATTTGCAGTGTGTTGAAGTGAAAATGCATTGAATTTCAAAGCCTTCTTAAAATGAGAAAAAAAATTAACAATTTATATTGCTTTCATATTAGCGTTGCATTATTCCTGGTATTTTGTGTTGACATTTCTTATTAAAGTTCACCTATTCTTTGAAACTTTTCTCTATGTCTACTTTTTCCAGTGGGGAGCTAATTCTGTAATGCCCACATAGGTTTGGCCCTCTTTGCTCTATGAATTCTATGTCTGATATATCAAAATCTATAGCAGAATACTTAGGAGGGGACATATGGAAGGAGGTTGGATTATTTCCTCCCCTGTCCTCTCCTCACTTTAGTGGCAGGGTGCTGACAGTAGGAGTACATCCAGACCACAAAACCAGAGCACTACACAAAAGGTTAATTAGGAACACTATTGGTTGTATTGACAACATGAAGTGCATGTTGGTAAATTCCTATTGTAAGAATTGTACCTCCTCCTTCTTGGATTTCAGCAAATTAGAAATCTAACTGTAGTTACTAGCTGTGTATGGGTTCCCTAACATAATTTTAAGGAGAGTATACCTAAAACATTGACTAATTTTTATACATGAATGGTCCTCTACTGCTGTATGCTAGAGCACAAACATAGATTGCATTTGTTGGCTTAGGTTTGCACACATTGATTCCTAAGTGCAGGAATTTTGTTTTCTGTGGGAAGCCTTCTTCCAGAGGAACCCTGTATAGTATATTTCATTTGGGAAGTGGTTCTGCCACACATCTACCCCCTACTAAGAATGAGCAAAGCCTCAGGTATTAGGACATTTTAGAAATAAAAAGTTTCACTGTCCCTAATCTTCAGTGTCCGGGACAAAAGCATAATTCCCACTTTACCAAGGAGACCAATCCAAATAAACAGCACCGTTATGATTTTACTTGAACTCGACAGAGAGCAGATGTAGACTGCAAAGGTTGGGTTTCTCCAGGGGCATCTGGAAGCACTACCCCTTGGCCCAACCAGATTTTCTTGAATTTCCTTTGGTCCTGGCATGAAATTAAGTCATCCTGTGTACTGCTTACTGTTTAGGCCCTCTGATTCCGTTTCTAAGATTATGGTATAATGGGAGACTTCTTCCCTGTTTTATGTATCAGCTTGCTAGGAATTAGAATTTTAAGAGCCCCTGAAATCCAAGGCTGTGTGATAGGGGAGGTCCATTGCAGGGGTGAAGGTCACTGAAGAGCCAGGCGATGTGGGCAGACTGTCAGGTCACATGAACAAGTGAGGTACTGGAGAATGCTCCCGTCAAAATCTGATCAGTGGGCTGGGAAGGTGGCTCAGTGGTAGAGCGCTTGCCTTGCATGCATGAGGCCCTTGGTTCGATTCCTCAGCACCACATAAGCAGAAGAAAAAAAAGCCGGAAGTGACGCCGTGGCTCAAGTGGTAAAGCACAAGCCTTGAGCTGAAGAGCTGAGGGACAGCACCCAGGCCAACAGTTCAGGCCCCGCGACCGGACCCCCGCCCCCCAAAAAAATCTGATCAGTGCCAGACAAGGGAGCATTGTTTATTCTGGGGTGTGTGGGTCATACGAAAGTGTCCATTCCATAGAAACTAACATCGGTGGGCATGTCAACTGATCCCAAAAGAAATATACTGTGAGTGCTCAATCCCTGAGCCCAAGTGGTCAGTCCCCTGTGGTTCTGTGGTGGCTGCTGTCAAGTGGTAGGTAGACCTGGCCTGGGGTCCCTAGAGCAAAGTAGGTGACGTAAGCCTACCCATGTCCCTTCCTGTGGCCATTATCACCTACCGATACGTGGGAGCATGAGGTTTGAAGATGTTGGGGCGACAGTGTGTTCGTACTCATGAGAACGATATAGTCCTTCATGTTATACACTTGGACCCACCCCATGCCCTGACCCCGCCCCACGCATCGACCCCGCCCCATGTATCCCCATCCCCACCCTCCTTTTCCGGTCCCTCCCCGGACCCCAACCCGGCCTGGCCTGAGAAGATGGTGAGCCAGTGGATGCCAGACACGCCCGCCTCACAGCTTATGTGGCTCCTGTGAACCCCAGGCATTCAGGGCCTTGCCATCCTGTGTGCAGCTCAGCCACGCCACAGTGTGGTTTCCAGGGTTACCATTGGCACCGTGCAGTTTCCGGGGTCACGTGTCAGGCTCTGGTCACGTGGCATCGTGACCTCCAACCCCACGTGGCTCGGAGGCGGGCTGAAGAGAAGCTCCCGGGAGCTCGCCTGTGTGTGTGCGCCCACATACTCTCGTGAGACCTCCTGAGGTAAAGACCCAGGGTCTTCCCTTTCCCTCCGGAGATCCCTTAGCTCTGTCTTTTGAAGTCTTTCGAACCGGGCCCGTGGTGGGCCAGCTTATGGTAGGAGGGGCGCCAGCTCTTAGAGGCCAAGGTTTCCTCAGACGGCAAAGAAGGCTTTAACGAGCAACGAACAAGTTGCCCTTCTGGAGCCCTTGGAGGCCAGGGTTTGGAAAGGGCTGGAAAGGACTGAACTTTGGGCCTGGGGCAGATGAATACGGGTTTCAGTGTGTTTGCGTGGGCCTGCGTATGTGCGCATATGCCCTCTGACCTGACTCTAGGCCGCAACGGCTCCCAGGGCTTCAATGGCGGGCTGGCCGGACCGGAGGGAGGGGAAGGTGGGGGAGAAGCGCCACCGGCGGCTGGAGGAAGGGCAGGAGTTTATGGACTAGACCCTCACTGGCCGCCTCTCCAGGGAGAGGCTCTAGAAGAGCCTTGGAGTAGAAAACTGCCCCTAACTGGTTCTGAGGGGTTTTGTGGGGGAGGGGAGGGGGAGGAGGGCGCCTCTGTTTTGAGGCTTGGACTGGGGCCTAGGCTTTGAATCCAAGCTTTTTCACCCAAGGCTTGCGCTCTATCGCTTTGAGCCACACCACTGTTCTGGTTTTGTGGTGGTTAGTTGGTGGCTCAAAGGGAGTGTTTTGTTTTGTTTTGTTTTGTTTTTGTTTTGATTTTTTAAGTTGGACGTGGGGCTTGAACTCAGCTTCTGGGCTTTGTCTTCAAGCATTTTCACTCAAGGCTGGCGCTCCACTACTTTGAGCCACAGTGCCACTCTTCTTCTTTTTTTTTTTTCTGTTGGTTAATTGGAGTTAAGAGTCTCAAGGACTTTTCTGCCTCTGCTGGGGTCAAACTGTGATCCTTAGATCTCAGCCTCCTAATTAGCTAAGATTACAGGCATGAGCCTCCAGCACCTGGCTGGCTGTAAGGTTTTTGTTTTTGTTTCTAATTAATTTACTTTGCTGTTACTATAAAGGTGATGTACAGGGGGATTAAGTTACACGACTTGGGTAATGAGTACATTGTGCTTCCTACACTGTTCCTTCACTCTCTCTCCTTGTCCCTTCCTCCCTCCTGTCTCTACCCACCCACAAGCTGTATAGTTCACATTCATCAGTGTCTAGTAAGCTCCACTGCTGCAGTTTTTCACCCTATTTCCCTCGAGTTCTCTACCCTTCCCCCCCCCCAACCTTCCCGAAGATACACACCTGAATTCACCATCTATAATGAAAACAGAATCATCAAAAACTAAAAAGGAAAGGAAGAAAAAGAGAGAGGGGGGGAGGAGAGATCTGTTTCCATGTCTTGGAATCCGTTTTGATATCTACATTATATAAATATGAAGAGGCACTTAAGCATTACACCTTTGTGTTCCCTAAGAGTATCTGCTTTTGGTCTCACTGTGCTCTGAGGTTTTGAAGGGCACTAGAGACATGGTAGGTGCCTTTTTCCTACAGATGATTCCAAATCTGATGTGTTTTATTTCGCTACTTGATTGCATCCTTATTTTCCTAGTTGTCTGACTTACATTCCCACTAGACATTCTCTCTTTGTACACTGGGGGAGGAGTGGATGGAGCAGGAGAGAGTGCCAAAGGAGGCAGAGAAACCTTTAATAAGTGATATTTTAAGGGAAACTGTCCAAATTAGCGGGGACAGTGGTAGTGGCAGTGCACACTAGTGTATACAACCTGAGTCAGGAGGATTGTGAGTTCCAGGGAATGTACGGCTAAACAAAGTGACCACGCTTCCAAGCAAACAAAAAACAAAATGCCTGGCAAAAGGGGATTCATACATGTAATCCTAGCTAATCCAGAGCAGTAGACAAAGAAATAAATCATAAAGTAAATAACAATGGACTTTGAACCCAAGTTTTCGAATTTCTTACAGTTAATTAGAATTTGTAGAATTTCATGGTACATTTCACTGTGGGATGACTATCCTTTTCTGTTTAAGGCCTCTGAAAGGAGTCCCTTCACAAAATATTGTTGAGTCATCACTGATTTTCTAATCATTCCTTCTTGGATTCCTTCCTAATGCCCCCCTCTCTCTTCTCTTCCTTGTGTAGAAAATTTTGGTACACATTCTCAGTGTTAAAAAAAAATCACATGCAATCATTGGTGATGGTTTTGGTATGTGGGGAGAGTGGTATTGAAGGAATAAATTTGAGAAAATAGCAAGGTGGTGTTCACATTTGTGGGGTTTTAAGTATTACTTGTCTGATGGCTAAAGGAAAGTTTTGCTTGTGGCACATTATATTAATGGTGTAGCTTAAATTATCTACTTTATTTCTCTCTCATTTCTGCAAGCTCGTTCTGCAGAAAACTAGGCTCAAGAAACAGCTACAAGAGAAATGTCTTCTAATCTAAGGAAGTATGGGGCAAAGAGGGATGAAGGTAAATAACTTTCCATACTTTGAGAATTTTTTTTCTGTGGTATGCTATGCTGAGAGGCAACAGGAATTTCTCAGGGAGAGAAAGTTTCTTCAGCTTCATAGGAATGGAGTATTTTTCCACAGAGCCTTTGAGGTAACTAATATTCTTCAGAACATGTTTGGTAAAAACGTGCACAGAGAAAATCTTTACCCTTTGAAGAACCTTTTGCTGTACTTCACTAAGAATGGTGGAGTTCATGAGTGCAACAATTATAATCTATTCTCACTAAGAAATCACTTACTGCTCTTAAGCCAGGTGCCAGAAAATTACAACTGTAGTTTTAGCCACTCAGGAGGCTGAGATCTGAGGATTGCAGTTCAAATCCAGCCTGGGCAGGAAAGTCTGTTAGGCCCATATTTCCCATTAACCACTAAAAGAAAAATGAAGTGGAGCTGTGGTTCAAGTGGTAGAGTGCTAGCCTTTAAGAAAAAAAAGCCACAGAAAATGGCCAGGCCCTGATCTAAAACTGTAGGAGTAGTGCATGCGTGCACGACCTATGCGCTCACACAGACTCACACGCAGACACACACACACACAAAAGCACATCTTTTTTTTATTATTTTTTGGGGGGGTCTGGTCGTGGGGCCTGAACTCTGGGCCTGGGCGCTGTCCCTCAGCTCTTCAGCTCAAGGCTAGCGCTCTACCACTTGAGCTACAGTGCCACTTCCAGTTTTCTGGCGGTTTATTGGAGATAAGAGTTTCATGGATTTTTCTGCCTGGGCTGGTTTTGAACCACAATGCTCAGATCTCAGTCTCCTGTGTAGCTAGGCTTACAGGCATGAGCCACTGGCGCCCCGCGATTCATTTCTTATTTTAGTTTTTGCCTGCCATAACAGGGATATTCTTGCCATGTGTTCAGAAGCACGATGATGTAGGCAGAATTCCAGAATGACAAAAGAAATGGCATAGGATCATATATGGTGTCATAGAGGAGATTCACTGTTGTCACTGTGCAGGAGGGACAGCTGCTAGTACATGGTGGAACCTGAAGGTGAATGATACTAGGCTGTCTCATGAGAGGCTCTTGGTATTGCCTTTTTTTCAGGCAGCACAACCAGGAGCCAGAGATTTGACTGAGATGCAGGCATTCAGTCAGTGCATGGGAGCTTATGAGTTATTTTCTCTTTGTTGCCTCTTCCCCATCCACATCCCTCCCTAACTCTCCCCTCTGTGCACAGTTTCCCCCTTCCCTCTTCTCTCCTCTTTCTCAGTCTCTTTCATCTTTCATCCTTGTCCTCTTCCTGCTCCTCCCCTGACTGCTTCTCTACCTCTCTTTACTCCTGTTCCTCTTTCTCCTCCTCCTTTTCCTTCTTTTTGGCTTTTCCTTCTTTTTGTACTGGAGTTTGAACTTATAGCCTCTTGTTGCTGGGCAGATGCTCTACCAGTAGCACTACACTACTCCCAGTTTACTCTGTGGCTTTTCATCATATGCCCACTGTCCTGTGTGATTTTAAGCAGAGGCCTTGCCTGAGACAGCAGCTTTTAGGCAGTTCACTTTTACACTTGCCCCTCAGTGCTGGTATTTGTGAAGCCATGTTGGCTCTTCACAATGACTCTGACTCTATCCTGGCTTCATAAATGGACCTTGTTAGACTATACATAATGACTTGATGTTTCCCTGTAGTCTATCAACTTTGAGGAAAATGCATTCGTTTCCTGGCATAATCCAAATGCTCCTAGTAATGTTCTTTGTGGGCAGCACTTCTGAGCCTCATTATTGACTTCATTGCACTTAAGACATGTTCTTTAGCTTCAAAGACAGTCTTAGAGTATTTTCACAGTGAAATGACAAGATGTCACTTGTCCTTCCCTCCCTCCTTCCATCCCTCCTTCCCTCCCTCCCTCCCTCCCTCCCTCCCTCCCTCCCTCCATCCCTTCCTTCCTTCCTTCAGTCGTTTCTAGCTTGCTTGATTCCTTCTTTTGTCTTTCTTCAAAACAAAAATCAGGGCTGGGAAGGTGGCTCAGTGGTAGAGCGCTGGCCTTGCATGCATGAGGCTCTGGGTTCGATTCCTCAGCACCATATAAGCAAAGAAAAAAAAAGAAAAAAGCTGGAAGTGGCACTGTGGCTCAAGTGGTAGAGCACTTGCCTTGCATGCATGAGGACCTGGGCTCAATTCCTCAGCACCACATACGCAGAAAAAAAAAGCCCGAAGTTGCGCTGTGGCTCAAGTGGTAGAGCGTTAGCCTTGAGCTGAAGAGCTGAGGGACAGCGCCCAGGCCTAGAGTTCAGGCCCCATGTCCGGACCCTCCCCCCTCCCAAAAAAATCACTCTTCCTGCTGTGTTCAAAATATCAGGTGAAGGAGCAATGTAAAGGCTTTGGAGCTCAATTCTCAGGTCTCAGTCTGCTGAATTGCTACATTTATAAGGCATGAGCCACCAGTGCCCAGCTCAGATTGGCAGTTTTGCTTGTCCTGCCATGGTGTCAGTCCATGATGTGGTACCTGGTCAGCAGAGTATGGCGATATCTGTATGTCAGTCCTAGGGCTTGAAATCAGAACCAGGGTGCTGTCCCTGAGATGTTTGCTCAAGGCTAGTGCTCTACCACTCGAGCTATAGCTACATTTCCAGCCTTTTGGTGGTTAATTGGAGATAAGAGTCTCACAGCCATTACAGCCTGGGCTGGCTTCAAACCATGTTCCTCAGATGTCAGCCTCCTGTGTAGCTAGGATTGCAGCCACGTGCCACTGGTGCCTGGCTATGGATGTATCTTTAAACTTGTGCTGTTGTTCCCAACTTCAGGGTACAGAAACAGTAGCCAGTTTTCTGGAGGGAGAAGTGGGAGTGCTTCCAATGGTAATTTTAGGAGGAGGAATGGTCATCATACTGGGTATGCTTCTCCAGCTTCCAACTTGCAAAATGATGACGGAAATGTGGACATGTTTCAGAGCCCTAATGACCCACAAAGCAGACGGTAAGGCAGCCTGGTTTGCATGTAGCAGCCCCGGGGACTTTGCAACTTTCGCTCTCTGGGGTCTTCCTTTACTGAGAAATGGAGGAATGGTGGGGGTAGGATTCTGGTAGAACAGAATCCCATTGGCATTCCTTGTATCACAGTGTAGCAAGTGAGCATCAGGAGGATTTCCTGGCATTTACAAACATCTTCCTTTTCTCCCTTTCCCAGCCCGCCTTATGCCAACCAACAGAACAGGTGGAGAAGCAATTGGCATAATGGAGACCAATTGGACAACGCTGCAGGGATGGATAGACAACATGGAGAGGGAGCGATGCAACAGGACATGGTAAAAGGAGCAATGCAGGACTGGTTCATGGTCAAGGTGCGTGTCTTGGCATGGTGTTTATTGGGTAGAATGTTCTGACAATGAAGAGAAGGAGAATTGCATTGAATACCAAGTCATGGTTATTGGGAGAAAAAAATAGTGGCACAAAAACAAAGGAACCAGCCAGGCACCAAGGTCTCCAGCCTGTAATCTTAGTTATTCAGGAGGCTAATACCTGAGGATCAGGGTTTGAAGCCATACAGGCAGGAAAGTCTGTGAGACTTATGTCTTAATTAACCCCCCAAAAAGGTGAAAGTGGAGCAGTGGCTCAAATGGTAGAACGCTAGCCCTGAGCAGAGAAATTTCAGGGATAGGGCCCAGGCCTTGAGGTCAAGCTCCAGCACCAACACAAACACATACACACACACACACACACACACACACAAACACACACACACACAAACACACACACACACACACACCTATTCGTAGTCCTTTAAAGTGAGCTATGTTGGGTAAGAACACTCTGCCTGGGTGTGTTCTCCATCTTGACTCCATGTTGTCCCCTTTGCATCTCTTCTTTCTGGCTGCTCCTTCCTTTTACCCTTAGATCCCCTGTGGGAGAAGATATGACAAGACATGGCTAATGAATTCAATCCAGAGCTACTGCAGTGTGCCCTTTACCCCAGTCGATGTAAGAGAGGATGGTGAAGACATCTGGGTGGTGGTCACGGGATGGGGACAGGCCAGGGCCAGGCACGGGTCCTTGGCCTCTGACAACATTGCTTCTGCTTTTTAGTTCCACTATGACAGAAGTTGGGCCCAGTTTTTTGTCGAGGGTGCCAGTGTTGCCGAGGCACTGAGGGAGATCTGCTACAAGATCCGTGGTGAGAAGAGTCAAAAGGTGTGTGCTGTGGGCATTGGTGGTACCTGGGCCTAGGGGAGTGAGGATAGATGGGCTAAGGGCTGGTGGGCATCTTTGGGTGTAGAGGTCTTGATGCTGAACCCACCTCTCCTTCACACAGGTATCTCTCTTTGTCTGTCCTTCTTTTGTACCCTACTCAGTGAGGTACAAGTTTACGGACGAACAAATAGAGCAGATAAAGGTAATTAATGCAGACAAAAGGCACAGTGTGTGTCAGGTCCCAGCCCCACCTCTCTCTCCTTCCCCCGACTCTCTGATCATCATGACTCCCTGTCATCATGACACTCAGAGCCTAGGGAGCCTCTCTCTGTCTCTATAGCTGACCATGAAGAAACGATACGATATCGAAGAGCAAGCTCTGGACCTCCAGAAGCTCCGCTTTGACCCAGGTACAGCTGATAAGAGTAGTGCTAAGGTACATGAGGGGCAGAGTGATCTGCTTCAGAGGAAGATGTAGGGATGGTAACTGGGGGAGGGTTCTGTGCTGGTGCTGTTCTGTCTGGGCCCCTCTCAACACTCTGATTCCCTTCTCCACTTCTTAAAGATTTGATGGACCATGATATCGACTTCGTCCTGAATCGAAGACACTGCCTGACCATCGCCGTGCAGATCATTCAAAACAGTTTCCCTGAGGTGAGGCCCTGGGCCCAGGGATGCTGTTCGTTGGAGTCAGTCATGGACTTGGACTTGGAAGGGATGAGGTGCAGGGCAGGTGTGTGTCCCAGGCTCTACATGGCAATCATTGCCCTAACTCTCCCTCCCCTAAAGCTGTCGTACTTGAACTTGAGCAACAACAAACTCTATCGGCTGGATGCCCTATGTGACATTGTAGACAGTGGCCCCGAGATCAGGATTCTGGACCTTTCCCGAAACCAGGTGAGATGGAGAGCCAGATGACATTTGGGTTGAGAGTGGGTGCTGACATGCATTGGGTGGGGGCAAGAAACAGGCAAAGGAACCTGTGGGTGAGGGTGGGGGCTGTGAGTGCAGGGCCCCAGGAGTGTCTTTCCCTGAGACTGCTTACCTGCCCCCTCCTTGTCTCCCTCAGCTGAGGTCAGTCTTAGAGCTGAACAAGGTAAAAGGGCTGAAGCTGGATGAGCTGTGGCTAGACGGGAACCCACTGTGCAGGACCTTCCAAGACCAATCTGCTTATCAAAGGTCGGTAATAGCTGGTAATGCCAGTCCCCCTTCCTGGGGACCTTTGCCCCCCTGTGAGCCTGAGCTGCAGTGCTTCCTACCTCTGGGCAATGGGGCCTCTGCCAGTCCAGCTTTGCATTTGCATGCCTCACCCAAATGAGGCTGGCCTTCCTACCCTATCCTGACAGGTCCCCTGCCTGTCCCAGACAAACATGGAGGCTGTCCTGCCCCAGGCTGGGGACGGAAGCCCTCAGCCACAAAGATGGCTGCCATTGTGAAATCTTCTTCTGGGCCATCGCTGGGAACTCTGCCTTCCTTGGGGAGAAACCCGGGCTCCCTAGATCAAGGATCCAGAAGTGGGCAAGCAGGCGGCTTCTGAAGCAGGAGTAGAAGGCAGAGGGCAGAGGAGCTTGAGAATGGAAGGGTGGGCCTCTCAGGAGCACTGCCTACCCGCCCCCTCACTCCATGTCATGTCACATCATTCTACCTGCTCCTGAAGATCCTGGGTATCCCAAGACAAGTGTGGTTTGTGGGCGGGGCACAGATGCATCAGAGGCACGGGTATGCAGAGACCTGTGTATGGGAGCGAGACAATGTCCACAGAGAGGGGCCCACATGCCCTCTAACCCATGGTGTGCTGGGGCCTGACCCTTCATGCCTAAATCTTTTGAAGAACAACTTCTGACTCCAAAGAAGCTTTGGTTCCTATCCCCGGCTCAATGTGTGCTTCAGCACCAGAGTTGGAGGGAGGGAGGGATGCTCCTTTTCCCTTTCCCTTTGACCTTCCCCTTTCCCTTCCCCTTTTCCTTTCCCTTTGGCCTCTCCCTTCCCCTTCCCCTTTTCCTTTCCCTTTGCTTTTTCTTGCTTTCTCCTTTGTCACCAGTCTCCTGTGTACCCCACACCCACTCTATCGCCTCATGTCTCCTCACTACGTTTTCTTCTTTTCTGTGGATATCATCTGCTTTACCCACCCTTCCCTCCTTCCCTCACCTCTTCAGCCCTGCTTCATTCACCTGGCCTGGCTAGGCCATGCCCTGCTGAATACGGGACACCCAGCGATGAGGCAGAACAGAGCCCTGGGTCCTCACTGCATTCCCTGCTCCCTATGGAGCCTTCTGTGGGGACTCAGAGAAAAGGAAGGAGAGGAGAGGACAGGAAACAGGGTGGAAGTAGAGGCCCTGGAGCCTGGGCTCCCATTTGTGCTTCCTGTGGCCCCGGATAAGAGCTATGTAGGTGAGAACATCCAGCTGGAAGGAGCAGGAGGAGAGCAAGAAGGAGAGCCAGTGGGAAAAAGGACAGAACGACTTCAAACTGTCGCTCCAATTTGGGTTTTGTTTTCTGTTTTTTGTTTTTGGACAGGGCCATCCACAATTACTTCCCCCAGTTGTTATGGCTGGTAAGTACTTACCTTCATCATGGTTTCCTGTTCCCCAGGAACATAACCCCCACACCTGCCCCCAAACCTTTTGCTTTTTTGTCTAGGTTACATGTTTCCACCACTCCACCATCCATTTTGGATGATGTGCCCTCCCAAAAAAGACATGAATATTGTCCCTGGTGGAAAAAAGGTTTCCATGAGTGCTTTCACACAGGCACATGTTGCACACGCAGGTTGCATGTAACAAACTCGGTAGAAAGTTCCAGGACACCCACAATTGAGCTGCCCACTGGAATCTCACCTGTGCAGTTTCCACAGCCGTCTCATGCCCAAACTCTGGTCACTGTTCCCCCTTGGGCCTCTTCACCTCCCTGTGCACCCACTATCACCCCCTAGCATGCGCTGTAGATCTTCTCTTCCCTTCCTCAGGATGGCCAGCAATTCAACCCACCCGTTGCCCCTGGCACTGATGCTCGCTGGTTGATGAACCCCAGCAGGGTGAGGAAGAGGACCAAGAGATGTTGAGGATGCTTGTCCTCTGGCCGGGAGTGGGGAGGTGGTGGCTTTATCAAGCTACATCGTTTAAATCACTTTTTGTTCCAGCAAGAGGATGCAGATGAGGATCTAAAGGAGAGAGTTTTACAGTTCCTGAAGAAGTGAGTGCCCCGAGGACCAGGAAGAAGAAGGCTTGGCCAAGGACCTGGGGCACCTTGGCACAGGCCTGATCATAGGAAGTGTTGGGTCTCATTTGGGTTTCAGATCACAGCAAATGCCTGTCCCTGTTGCCCCCACCTCATCCCCACCCTCCTCCTCCGGCAGGTATTACTCTGTCTATGACAGTGGAGATCGTCAGAATCTCCTCGGTGCTTACCATGATGAGGCCTGCTTCTCTGTGTCTGTCCCTGCCAGTGCCGGCAACCCAGGACCGTGAGTATCACAGCTCTGACTCTGGTTGCAGCCACGTGGCACCCCTAGCTTCTGGGACACTGCACTGACTGGACCACCACCTCTTGTTCCTCCTTTTATCTCGTAGGAGCTGCTTGAGCCTGTACTTCAAGCACAGCAGGAATCTGAACACTCTTAAGGACCCCTGTAATTGTGTGATGGGGAAGACTGGGCAGGGAAAGGGAGTGAGAAGGGGACAGTCTCAGGGCCCAAGGGCCAAGGTACGGCAGCCCAATGATCACTGCTTCTCTACAGATATGCAGCAGAAGCTGCTGAAACACAGGAAACAAGACATTGTGGACTCCCTCTGTTTGTTGCCCAAAACCCAGCATGATCTCAGTTCATTTATAATAGACATGTGTTTCCAGACGGTGAGCACCTGCTTCCTCTCAGCCAGTTCCAGAGAGCTGGAGTTGGTTGGAAGTTAAGCAGGATCCTGAGCTCCTGTGTTAATTCCCTTTCAGGAAAAGATGATCTGCTTCTCTGTCAATGGACTCTTCAGGGAAGGTGAGTGTCTATAGTATTCCTTCTCCAGATCCCCTTCTGCTCCCTCCCCTGAGTGGGCATCTCCCCACCCATGGCCCTGCCAGCTTCCCAGATTCTGTGCCTTTCCATTCCATTCCATTCTTGCCCCTCCATTCCCCTGCCCCTGCCCCTGCCCATACCCTAAAACCATTTAGGTCTGACCTAGGTCCATGCGTGTCTGCCCTGTCACTTAGGCATTAGGGACACGGGCTCTGTGCATTGAGGGCTCTCACTCCAGTCCCTTCTTCTGTGTCCTTGGACTCAGTTCAGTTACTCAACCTCTCCGTTTCCCCAAGTGCAAAATGGGGCTAATTAAACACATCTCTCTGGCAGATGGGAATGAGGAACCGAGTGAATATTGGAAGTGTTTATTTCACTGGTCCTGGTCCCACCACCAGTAGCAGACGATTCCTAATTTTGCCTTCCAATTCCCACCATGTCCTGCTGAATCCAAGTTATAGCAATTTTCCAGACCTGTTCCCCCACCCCACCCCCCACCTTCAGTGTAAGACTTCAGCTGGGGAATACTGTGTGAATATGTCGAGAATGTGCAGCTCTAAGGGAGGGGTATTACTGTCCTAGAAGCAGGGGGAAATTCACAGGACTCTATCCGTGCCTTCACTCGGACCTTCATTGCTATCCCTGGCAGCGGAACAAAGTAAGTGTCCTAACATGCTGTGCTGTGTTGTGGGTGGGAACATCCATCCCAGCCCCGGGTCAGAGGAGTGGGATTGTAGTGGCACCATCCACGGGGTATTCTATGATGGAGAGTCAAGAGGTACATCCAAGGATCAGTCTAGGCCAATGGTCAAGAGAAGGGGCGCTCTGAAGTTTGGAATACAAACTAGTTCTCTTCCCGATCCCCAGTATTCACTAACTGTCACTCTGGCCAAATTACTTGACTTCTTCGTGACTCAGTTCTTCCACTACGAATGGGAGCAAGAGTATCCAGGGCCTTTGGGCCGCTGTGTAGGATACATGCATTGGGATTACATCTGCAGACCCTATGAACCTGACAATCTCTCCCAGGGTGGGCTCTGTGGATACCAAACAGCCAAGGAGTCTTGATATCATGTGAAATAGGGAGAGGGAATGAATCTGTTTCTTGCGTGGCAGTGGTTACAAAGGATTCTGTTTGAAGCAGTGGGGTGGGAGGTGGGTCGGGCTGCCCTCTGCCTATCTGGTGGTTTCAGGAACTCTTTTTCCTCCAGTCTGTGCATCATGAATGACCAGCTGTTTGTGAGGGATACCACCTCTGAGGAGGTCTCAGGCAGCATCGCGTCCCTCGTGGGTCCCAGCCCGAGGCCCACCCTCTCTCAAGTGCAATGTGAAATGGTGCAGACATTCTCCATCCAGTCTGGGATGAAACTCGATTGGTCTGAGAAGTGAGTGTCGGGGATACATCTGGATGGAGGAAGAGGCAGTTGAGACAGCAGGAACATGAATAATGGGGACTCATGGGAGATTTAGGAAAGTGTCTGGGTGGATATGTTTTATCTTTTTAAGGGCAGGCATGAGAAAATGATGTTACTTTGGTGCAGTTTTGTACCTACATACGTTAAGTCTTCTTGAAATAATGTAGTACTCAAATAACATTGCCTTCTCTGTGGATAATCCAAAGACTCTATCACAACAAACCACTAGAACTAATAAGCAAATTCAGCAAAGTTGTAGAATAAGAGAACATTGTACAAAAATCATTTCTGATTCTGTGTACTTGGAATGAGCAGTCCAACAGTGAATTAAAGAAAACAAGTCAGGTTACAGAAGCATCAGGAAGAGTAAAACACTTAAGGACAAATATAACAAAAGAAGCCAATCTTATCATCTGAAACCTGCAAAATTGTGGCTGAAAATTTTTGAAGATCCAAGTGAATGGGGGAAAAATTACGTTCACCACGTGAGCCTTGAAGACTTTGTGCTGAGTGAACAAAGCCAGTCATGAATGGCCAAATATTGAATGATTACATTTATACAAAATTTCAAGAAATAGATAATTCCATAGAGACTGAAGGCAGATTCAAATTTTCCAGAGTCTTAGAGAAGTGTGAGGACACTAGCCAAGTAATCTCTTAATGCTTGGCCAGGTTTTGGTTTTGAGGCGATAAAGCTGTCTGGCAACAAGATAGGTGGGATGACTACACAATATTGTGAATATCCTAGAAAACCACAGAATAGGTCTTATATCTCAATTGATGAATAGTTGGGATTTTTTAGAAAAAAATCTTTACACTCCCATTTGTACCATTATTTCCTTGAGCACCTTTTGAAAACTGGTGTGTTAAATTAAGCCCCTTCGCTCATTTGAACATGTCTCCTCTTTGGCTTTAAATTCTTCATTTTTATTTTTATTTTTTACTCCTGGCAGTACTGGGGTTTGAACACAGGACCTCACACTTGCTAGGCAGGTGTTCTGAGGCCATGCCTCCTATCACTTGGTGGCCATCCCTCCAGCCTCTTTTTGCCTTGATTTTTGAGGTTAAGTCTCACTTTATGCCCAGGCCATTCTGGCCACTCCTATTTGTACTTCACTGTGTTGCTGGAGATGACAGGTATGTGCTGCTGTACCCAGCCACCAGTGTCTCTGCCATAGCTGGGATAATGGGTGAGCCACCACCATGCTGGGCCACTGGTTGAGATGGAGTCTCACCAACATTTATGCCCAGGCTTGCCTTGAGCCACAGTCCCACAGTCCCACAATCTCCACTTCCTAAGTAGATAAGATGACTGGCTTGAACCACTGTGCTGAGCTCTGCTGACCGTGAATGTCAGTGATGGACACTTTGGTTTCCAGTGATCTTCATCATTACAGTGGTGCTCACTCTGGCCATGAGTTCCAGCAATGGGTAGCACTGGCTTAAGTGGCAGCGTTTTGTGTTTGGTGTGTCCGTCCTGTGCTAGTAATCCTGTGCCTCTCCCTCCACAGGTGCCTTATGGACAATGCATGGGACTACAACAGAGCTGCTCAGATCTTCATTAAGTTCCAGGTGAGGCCTGGCAGTTAAGTGGGCAAAAAAGATGGATGTCTCTGGCCTTCAGGAAGGTGGTGGCTAGGTGGCATGGGGATGGAATTCAGGACATCTGGCTCCTCTGACATCCCAATTCCTTTCTTCCAGAACGAGGGCAAGATCCCACAGGAGGCCTTCAAACCAAAGCCCTAAAAGGAGGCCTTGGATGTCATCTTCCTCTTCATTCACATAGTGGGCTCTCTCTCCCTCTCCCTCCCTCCCTCTCCCTCTCTCCCTTTCTCTCCCTCTTCTCTCCCTCCTTCCCTCCCTCCTTCCCTCCTCCCCCCCCTCTCTCTCAACTGTGACTGGAGTTGGGGGCCTTTTTGACCATGAAGCTAAAGTTACCTTACAGGCCAGCTGACATAACTTCCCCAAGGGCCAACCGTTGTCCTCCCTATTTTCCTTATTGAAGTTGGCTGTTTGTTCTGACAATAAAGAGTGGCATTGCATGTTGAAGGTTGTATGTTCTGGATTGCTCTCCTCCTGCCCTAGCCATGAGCCAGTGTGGCCAAGACTGAAAGGCCCTGCAACACCATCCCATCCCCATCATGCCTAGATGTCCTGAAGCAGATCCATGAAGCTTGCCTCCTGGGAACTTTGTGAATACAAGCTCATGAGAAAAGACACAGTTGTCCAGTGATTGGCCTTTGGCACTCTTGTGGCTCTGTCAGATGTTTTTCCTAGAGGCCTGCAGAAGAAGGTGTGTCACTGGGCACCATGGGGTCTCTTCACAAAGGATGTCTCCTGGCTAGTGAGGGCTGTAGTGGAGGGAGGAAAGGTGCAGGTTCACATATGTTCCTCTTCATTCTCAATCATACCATAATCCTTTCAGAGATTTGCTCACAGATGGAAGGAAAATGAGCCTTTTAACAGTGCTCCCATGCTTCCACCTGCCTTCCTACCCACTATTCCACCCCTTCCCCTTCCTGAAGGTGTGAGAGGGCATGTCCTTAGCACTCTCAGGGTAAGGGGCAGTCAATCTCTGCCCAGTGCATCCCTCACGAAGCTGGCATTGCCATGCCCATGTTCTTGAGGGAAGAGCATTGGCCACCTATTTTCAATTCCAAACAGCAGCAACAACAAACAACAGTGGCACAAATTGTCACTCTGGTCAGTTCTTCGGGGCTTTTCACAATGACTGGTAGTTAGCAGTCCTGAATGTCAGGCAGTCATTGAGCAGGACAGCTGCACAATTTATTTCCCACACTTTGGTGAGGCTTGCACTTTAGGCAACAGGCAGTCATCATATTTGAAATTAAAATTGTAACCACATAAAGTTTTCAAGTTACAATCCTACAAACGGTGCCACAGGTGACAAATTAGACCACCAGCTGACAAATCATGCCCACACTTTTCCACATGTGAAGTAAGTGATTTCGTACCACTTGCTACTTACTTGTTTTGCTTTGCCCTTTGTTTTGTTTCGTTTTGTTGTTTTGTTTTCTTTTGGGGTTTTTTAACTGTTTTTTTTTGTCTTTTCTTTTTTGGTACTGGGGATTGAACCCAGGACGTTGCACTTGCTAGGCAAGCGCTGTGGCACTGAGCTACATCCCAGCCCATGTTGTTTTGTTTTCTTTTGGTGGTATTGGGGTCTGAACACAGGCCTTCATGCTTCCAAGGCAAGCACGCTCTCTATCACCTAAGCCATGACCCCTGCCCTTTTTCAATTAATTTTTCTAGTAGTGTCTTGAGTTTTTTTTTCCTGGGTTTGGTCCTGGACCTCAATCCTCCTACCTATGGCCTCCTGCCTACCTGGAATAACACATGCATGCTACAGTGTGTGCCTGTCTGTTGAGATGAGGTTTTTTGCCAACATTCTACCAAGATTGGCATTGAATCATGGTCTCCACCTCCTGAGTCTCTGGGTTCACAGGCATGAGCCTGGGTGCTCAGAGTCTTTATTTCTTCAGCTACATTTACATTGAGGAGCCATTGGCTGTAGTGTGATAAGTAGCTAAATGGATGGTGGCAGGGGGAGTGGTGTGGGTGTGGATAGTTTCCATTATATGAAGAAGAATGCAAGGCTACCACTTTCACAGTGTGGGTCTTGGTATTTGAACTCAACACCTGGGCATTGTCTGTCTCTTAACTTTTTCACTTAAAGCTAGCACTCTCTACTACTTGAGTCATAGATCTGCTTCATATTGTTTTCAAACGTGGCTCTGCAGTGTTTTTGGTGTCCATTGACTCTCAGGACATAAGTGAGGGTACCGGCATGCACAACAAGGGGCAAATGGAGATTGTGAACTTTGAGGGTGTGTCCATAGATTTCACTCTGGTAGAATGGACTTTGTTAAATCTTTCTCCGAAGATATTCAACAGAGGTGATTTTTGGAACTTTGGTGAACCTGGCTTCTATAGAAGAGAAGCAGGAAAAAGAAAACACTGAAGTTAACTATAAAAATCCTAGGGAAGACATAAGAACTAAAATTTTAGAGTGACTCCATGAACTTGAGCAAGAGAGTCAATGTGAAGAAGCCTTCCAGCAGAATCCAGGGCATAGTATGAATAAGAAAGCCCTACCTGGACTAGCACCCTTCAAAAACTTATGTGTGTGGAGAAGCCATCATCGTTCATACATCCATTGGTATCCCTTTCAGACCTTACACAGGACAGATATATCCACTGGTTATCAGGAATATGTGGAGAGCCTGAAGGAAATTTCATCATGGTCAAATCAGCTATAACATGCACAATGAGGAAAATCCATTTACAGTTAAACAATGTAGAAAATCCTATGGATATTCTAGGTATTTTTCACAGACATGAAGAAATTCACACTGAAGTTAAACACTGCCATGAATGTATGCATTGTAGAAGATCATTCCCTAACTCCAGTACCCTTCAAGGGCATCAAAGTACTCACCTTGGAGGGAAAACCAATAAATGTAAGCAATGTAGGAAAGCATTTATTCTTCCCTGTTACCCTCAAAAACACAAAAGGACTCACCCTAGAGAGAAATCCTATAGGAGTAAGTAGTGTTAGAAAGCCTTCATATAACTCTCTCACCATCAGGCACATGAAAGAACTCACACTGAAGAGGAAAAGTTATGCACATAAGCATTGAACACCTTCTCTGGTCTAAGCACCTTCTGAATCAAGGAATACATGATGGAGAAAAACCATATGGACATAAATGATATGGCACAGCCTTCACTCCTTGCTGTTCCTTGTGAAGTCATGAAAACACTCTTGCTTTAGATAAAGATAATGTAAGCGATTTGGGGAAACCTTCACTTGTTCCCATTACCGAAAATACATGGAAGAATATACACGGGAGACAAAAATGACTGGAAGCTACAAGAGAAAGCGTTCACTCATATCCTTCTTTATTCCCCTTTCCCCAACATGAAAGAACTCATTCTGGAATGTGGCTTCATTCTGCTTGGTTAACCTAATTAAAACCTAACAAGTATATGGTGTTGCTTATGCTTATCTCACTTCATTCATGGATATGCACAAGGTTATGGAGACAAGCCTTGATTAGAAGAAATTTGAGGAAATAATGTTTATAGAAAAGGTCAGACAAAGAGTGAACAAATTCACCAGTGGTGCTTACTAGACACTATGTGGAAAATGAATTATACAACTTGTGGGTGAGGACAGGAAGGAAAAACTGGGAGATAGCAAGGGGAGGGGTTACATGATTCAAAAAGAACTATATTCATTACCTGACTTAAGCTTTCACTCATATGTTTCTTTATTTCCCTATCCCCAACATGAAAGAACTCATTCTGGAATGTAATCATATCAAAACACCTTCCTAGTACTCAAGTAAATGTGTGGCATATAGACTCTTGAGAGTAACTGTATGGATGTAAGCAATATGTGAAAACCTGTCCTTCCTGTAGTTGCCTTAGAGCACACCTTTGATATATTTATAGCCAAGTACCGGTGGCTCATGCCTGTAGTCTCAGCTACTCCAGAGGCTGAGATCTGATGTTATCACGTTCAAGACATCCTACGCAGAAATGTACAGGAGACTTATGTCCAATTAACCAATAAAAACTGGCAGTAGAGACATTGCCAAAGGCTAGAGCCCCAGGCTTGAGTAAAAAAAACCCTAAGGGACAGCACACATGCCTTGAGTTCAGCCCCGAATAGAGTACCACACACAAACACACCAACACACACACACACACACAGAGCGAGATTTCCAAATTTGAGGCCACTCGGCTATATACTGAGAGCTTTTCTCCCAAATTAAAAGCCAATGTTGAATTCTGGATTCCATGGCTCCTTCCCACAGGGAAACCTAGGCAGCTCAGTGTACGTGGGTTGAGTGTGATGCTCTGATAGGTCTGTCCCATTTAGGACTGACTCCATACCTCATACCCAGACTGAGAAGTGCATGGTGTGCACTCACTCCCCCATATGAAAGTACCAATGCCAGGGGAGTTGCAAAAGTTTGTCTTTGGCTACTGAAGCATGACATAGAAGAGCAAAGTGGACATTATTTATCCTACACCCGTTTATTTATTTTAAATAAATTTTGTTATTATAATGGTGTTATACAGAGGGGTTACAGTTCTATGAGTAGGGTAATGAATATAGTTCTTTTTGAATCAAATTCTAGGTTGGGCTTGAGTTAGCAAAAACCTCATCTCAACAGACAGGCACACACTGTAGCATGCATGTGTTATTCCAGGTAGGCAGGAGGCCATAGGTAGGAGGATTGAGGTCCAGGACCAAACCCAGGAAAAAAAAACTCAAGACACTACTAGAAAAATTAATTGAAAAAGGGCAGGGGTCATGGCTTAGGTGATAGAGAGCGTGCTTGCCTTGGAAGCATGAAGGCCTGTGTTCAGACCCCAATACCACCAAAAGAAAACAAAACAACATGGGCTGGGATGTAGCTCAGTGCCACAGCGCTTGCCTAGCAAGTGCAACGTCCTGGGTTCAATCCCCAGTACCAAAAAAGAAAAGACAAAAAAAAACAGTTAAAAAACCCCAAAAGAAAACAAAACAACAAAACGAAACAAAACAAAGGGCAAAGCAAAACAAGTAAGTAGCAAGTGGTACGAAATCACTTACTTCACATGTGGAAAAGTGTGGGCATGATTTGTCAGCTGGTGGTCTAATTTGTCACCTGTGGCACCGTTTGTAGGATTGTAACTTGAAAACTTTATGTGGTTACAATTTTAATTTCAAATATGATGACTGCCTGTTGCCTAAAGTGCAAGCCTCACCAAAGTGTGGGAAATAAATTGTGCAGCTGTCCTGCTCAATGACTGCCTGACATTCAGGACTGCTAACTACCAGTCATTGTGAAAAGCCCCGAAGAACTGACCAGAGTGACAATTTGTGCCACTGTTGTTTGTTGTTGCTGCTGTTTGGAATTGAAAATAGGTGGCCAATGCTCTTCCCTCAAGAACATGGGCATGGCAATGCCAGCTTCGTGAGGGATGCACTGGGCAGAGATTGACTGC